TCCAGAATTTGAAAAGGACCGACGTACCGGGGTGTCAACTTACCTTTCTTTCCAAATCTTGGGTGCCCTTTCATCGGAGTGACTTTCACGAAAACATAGCTATCCACGTCAAATTCCAAATCTCTCCGTCGGTTATCAGCATAACTTTTCTGCCTACTTTGGGCAGTTTTCAACCTTTCCCGAATAACGCGAACTTTTTCAGTGGTCAACTGAACAATTTCAGGCCCTAATAAGGATTTATCTCCAACTTCAGCCCAGCATACAGGAGAATGGCATGGTCTTCCATACAAAGCTTCATAAGGTGCCATGTCTATGCTCGAATGGTAACTATTATTATACGCAAATTCTATTAACGGTAGATGGGTTTCCCAACTTTCTTGAAAATCTAGTACACACATTCGGAGCATAAAGTTATGTACAACATCCGTAGATGGCTCTCAAAAGTAAACCCATATCTTAGCAGCTTCACAAAAACAAATGGCCTGGTATGGTGTCTGGACATGCAAAGGTTGACAAAAGGGACAGCGTCAAGTTAGGATTGACTCCCTGACTGATGACCTACAGAAACGGACATAATAGAGAGTGAGCCGGGCTCAATGAGTAGTAATACATAATGAACGACGTCTAACTTGAAATTTAAATACATCAATACATAAAAAGATGTAGCATGCACTTGGTTTATTTGATTCTGCGTTTAGTTCATACTGGCCCTAGGCCTAATCCTGTGACATGAGCATGTGGCTATAACCCCTTGAAACATGATGGCACGAAGCCCTTGAACATATGGCACGAGGCCCTTGTAATACACTTGAAACTTGTGGCACAAGGCCCTTGAAATACACTTGAAACTTGTGGCACAAGGCCCTTGAAAATGGCGTATAGCCCTTGTAAATGCTTTTCTTTACATGCTTTAACATTAACATATCCTAAACATGCATAAGTACATTACATGCTTGAGACATTAACATTGACATAATTTCATAACATTACATAGGTACTACTACTCACAGTGTTGAGGTGGTGTGTTGCTACCTTCTGGAATATGCCCTGCACACAATTAATACATTAGTTTCTTCTCTCTTTTTTTTAAAAGCATTTCCTGAGTCTTACACCTTGCATGCATTTACATCCGCTTTAAAATCATCTGTAAAATATTCTAAAAATACCAGAGAGGCAAGCACTCAAAACTGAACAAACATTTAATTTTTCCTGAAAATGAGTCCCCCGCTCGAGTGCCACTTTGGCCGCTTGAGCGGACTGTAAAATGCGCAAAACTGCTGAGGGGTGTTTTTTCCTGCTCGAGTGGGTTTTCCGCCGCTCGAGTGGACCGAGCAGATTCTGAAATTCTGAACCTCCATTCGAGTCCCAACCTAGCATTCACTCTATTTTTACATGCAACCCAAGGTTAGGTTAATGCAATATTCCCACCTACCATCACTATAACATGGATTCTACATTGAGTATAATAAATTATCCAAGATTAGAAGCTTCAACAAGCCATCTCTCTCTCTAATTCCATTCTTGGATTCAAGTTCTTCATATCCTTGAAACATAACACATGATATATGCATAATTCCATGAAGTGATGATAGAAAACCATAGATTGAAGTATAATTCCATACCACACCCAATCTAGATGCCTAAGCAACCAATTAAGAGAAACCCTCATTAATCAAACATGAAGTAGACATGAATCAAACTTACACATCAATTACAAACTCTAAGTGGCCATAATAAGAAGGATTAGAGCTTACCTTGAATTCAATCCTACACCTCTAACAATTTTGCCAAGCTTTCTTGTTGAATCCCTTCTCCCCCAATTTCTCTTCTTCACTTCCCCAAAATGGTATTCACGTTTTATATTCATAAATAATGCATGTAAGACAAAAATGAATCGTTTAATCATTTCAAAATTAAAATTTCGCAAACATGCTTAATATTACTTAAAAATTATGCTGATCACAGATATATAATCAATTTCAGCTAATTAAGCTGTTAAGGCTTCCAATTTCTAATTCAAACGTGTTAATGGTGACAGATAGTTTCCTTGTGGGACAGATAGACACTCATAGACATGCACTTCACTTCCTTAATCATAATTTTTCACGGAACTACACAGTAAGCATTTAAAAGCACCAATCGAGGACTAAGAATATAACAAAAATCATGTGCGAGAGTCGGGTTATTACATGAACACCGGGATGCACCCGAATGTTTTTAACTGAAGGGTTGGTGTGAACACCGAGACACATCCGAATATTTTTAATCGAAGGGGTGGTGTGAACACCGGGATGCACCCAAATGTTTTTAATTGAAGGGGTGGTGTGAACACCGAGACGCACCCAAATGTTTTTAACCGAAGAGGTGGTGTGAACACCGGGATGCACCCGAATGTTTTTAACCGAAGAGGTGATGTGAACACCGGGACACACCCAAATGTTTTTAACCGAAGGGGTGGGGTGAACATTGGGACGCATCGGAATGTTTTTAACCGAAAGGGTGGTGTGAACACCGGGACGCACCCAAATGTTTTTAACTGAAGAGGTGGTGTGAACACTGAGACACACTCGAATGTTTTTAACCGAAGGAGGGGTGTGAACACCGGGATGCACACGAATGTTTTTAACTGAAGGGGTGGTGTGAACACCAGGACTCACCTGAATGTTTTTAACCGATGAGATAGAGGGATACGATTCGAAGGGCATGAATGATTTTACCTAGAACTCCTCTGAATGAACCCTACATACAATATCGTGCTTGTATAGGAAAGAGACTTAACAAATACGATATAGTAGAAATGCATGTTTTATGCAAGACAAACAACCGAGACGCAATGGCATGTTCTATGCAAGAAACAAAAAGTCGAAGCATATGCTATGCATAATTCGTAACAAGAGCATATTTTATGCGTGATACAAGAGTGGATGCATATTCTATGCATGATTCATAATGGATGCAAGACGTGCATGCAACATATATGTGAAATACTTATTGTATGCTACAAAGTGAGGTGCACGTTCCATACAACAACGAATATGACATGCATGTTCTATGCAAGGTATCAAAGCATGATTTGAGGAAAACAAACACAATGGCAACTTCCAATTCACCTCTCAGAAGAGTTGCGACATGTTTAAAAAGGATACACCTCGTTCACATTGACAAGTGACGAACATCGCGGACCAGAAACACAATTTTGAGCTTCCGCAGAGACATTCTGAACTCAACAGTGAACAATCCCTTCAATTCTTAGAGACCAAGGACACAAAACAGCATCAAGCACCCAAGGAAATCAGCTGGCCACCTGTCGGCCATGAGGGAAGGCCGTTGGCCAGGCGCCGGCCACCAATGATCATTGCCGGCCATCGATGGCAGATTAAGGGTTTTTTGATCATTTCGGCTTGGGTCTTTAAGTATGAGCCACCACACTTCATTTCCTTACTTCCTCATGCCTAAAAATCATCTCCCGCTCTCTCTCTAGACACTCCTTCTCTCTAGATTTGCACTCTCTACTCGTTTTCCAATGCCTTGCGTGAAGTTGGTTCGCTAAATCCTTTTTATTCTCTTCACTTTGAACCGATTGAAATTTGATTTCGGTGCTTCTTTCTTTATTTCCACCATTCTAGGCTTATTCCCCTAGAGTTTCTCTCGAGTCTTGTGCACTTTTCCCGGCTTTGACTTTTTTCTCTACTTTCTCTCTCATAGGGTTTGACTTTTTCCAAGTTTGCCCTTTTTCTTCATTCTTCTTCACTTTTCACCCATTTCGCACCTATTTTCAGATTGTGGATGGTATTCCACATGACGGGGCTCCTCCAGAGGTTCCCCCAGTAGTTCTACCTGTATCGGAGGTAGAGGAGCCGATAGATGACCTTGAGGCCAACTTGGAAGCGGAGTTCGAGCCCGAGGTCGAGCCAGAGCCGCTACCATTGCGGGTACAGCCTTTCGACGTGGTGAGATATCACCGACAAACACACATATTGCCCACTTTCAGAGGCATCAGACGCTTCATCGAGTTCGCCTGCGGTGCACCGGAGGACCTTTTGCTGAAGGAGCCAGATTCTCACTTGTCGGCCATTGCCGTCGAGGAATGCACCCTGTTTTCATGTATTTATGCCTTTAGTTACTTACAATTCCTACACTACCTTGTATCGAATCCACCTGATTGCATTTCATACACTGCCCTTATCTGACCATGTACTGCCTTCATTGTTTTCATCTGATTGCATTTCATGCACTACCCTTATCTGATGCATTGTTTTCTTCCACAAGGCAAGTCTCCCGTATTCAGAGGCTATGGTGCTACGACCACTAGAGATTGGTATGACGAGCTCCCAGCTGGAGTTCGAGACATCATCGATGAGGCAGGCTTTGGCCTCTTCTGCTCTAGCTTGACTCGGGTCACCGCGAGTCGTCCCCTCCTAGGAGCACTAGTGGAGAGGTGGTGGGATACCACTAACTCCTTCCACTTTTCCACCGCAGGGGAGATGACGATGACTCCTTACGACTTTTCCATGATCATCGACTTAGAAGTAGGAGGCGATCTGATCCCTATCAATACAGATACAAAGGAGTAGGAGACAGCCTGGTTCAAGCTGCTAGGGGCACACCCACCCATACACTAGACGGGGATGGTTAGGTACACTTTGTTCGGTGAGCGATGCAGAGGGATTGAGCCCGAGACGATAGAGGGGATCGAGTAGTATGCCAGGGGCTACCTGATGTTCGTCTTCAATACCACCTTGTTTTCGAATAGGTGGAATACCATAGGCTTGCATTTGCTGATTGCCCTAGTGACCCTCCCTCGGGTTCGTTTCTATGACTAGGGCGGAACTGGCCTCACTACGGTGTACGGATACATGAGCTTTACCTCCCGTTTGCGGGGAGATTTAATTGGAGGCTACTGGCGAGTCTAGGAGGTACACATCTCAGTTCCCTCTTTGCACTTTATATTTTCTTTGCAATTTCTGCTTTATATCTATTTCAACACATGCTTTTTGCTTCGCATTTCTATATTTGCTCACACATAGTTCATACACTGTGCTTTCTGTTTTGCACTTTCTTCATCTGCATGATATTGTTCATACACTGATCACATACCGTTGCATTTTCCCTGTAGCTATGGGTATACACATACTTTCTGACTCTCGCCTTGGAGCCTGTAGAGGAGCTTCCATTGACAATACCCTATTTGTGAGTATATGACAGTCAGCTTCACCGTAGGACCCGTGAGCCTTTCACTTTCTTCTGCTAATACTTCAACACGGTAGCAGCCTATGAGGTAATCCAAAACACAGTCATTTTTTCTTTGAAACTATTCTACTTCACACATATAGCAACTAATAACAACTAGTAATCTGTACAACTTCTATTTGCAGATCACGTGGCAGCCGTGGGCCACGATGCCCGCGGGGATTCAAGGCTAGTATACCAGGGCCTGGGTCATTTCTTGCTACCACATTCTACTCGAGGGCGCAGTCTGCTAGGCTTGGTTCTTGGGTGAGCGCTTCGTGCGCCAGATTATGGTCCTACTCGACCCGATCGTCCCGATGGCTCCACCAGAGTCCATGTGGTCCACAGAGAGCCTATTTGTTGAGGAGGTCATCCAGTTCATGGTGGGCCTCAACGTCAACTTCTGCTGAGTGGAGGGCGACTATGCAGCTTTCATCCTGACACATCTGATGCCGCCCCTGACCGGTGTTTGTAGAGCTAAGGAGGTGAGAGCTCCTGCCGCGAGAGAGGGGCCTAGAGCGACTTGAGCGAGCAGGGCTCGTGGTAGAGGGGTTACCCGGGTGGGGTAGAGTACCGGTTGGCCGAAGTTGCCTACTGCACTCATATGTTGGCAGTATACTAGGAAGGCATACCAGATCCTTATTGAGCCTGCAGCAGCTGGGCATAGATACTTCAGAACTCACAACGCACCTCCGGTATGTACCACATTTTTTTAGCTTTCCGTTTTCTTTCTGATATTTGTTCTTTCCAGACATTAATCATTCCCAATGCATTTGCAGGCACCCCCATGGTACACTGAAGGCCTGCTCGAGCTACTGGATTCGTTCGAGGGCATGATATTGAGGAGGGAGGCACTGCCCAGTTTCCATGGCATTCAGGTAATTTCTTCAGTTTTACATTCTAGTCATCAAATTTCCACTGACACACTGAAACTGACATCTCAACTGAGAACTTTCCCACACTGCACTGATACACTGCATTTGAAATACTGCACTCCCATACTGTATTCATATATTGTATCTAACTTCTGCATATGCTCATTCTGCATACCATGCTTGCATCTGATACACATACTGTGGCTGACATATGACGACTATCTTTTCAGGTCCCACCGATACCGATGGCACCAGCGGCAGCTGCAGTACCTGCACCACCAGTTCCTCCTCCATCAGCAAGGAGAGGGAGACAAATTTCAACATGCGGCTGAGGCAGAGATAGGGGCACCCGAGCCGAGAGAGGCCCTTCAAAGCCCATTCTGAATGATTATGATGTTGAGACGAGCGACTCTGAGGAGGTAGCGAGTCAGCATTCAGATTCATTTGAGAGTGAAGGTGATGATGCTAGTTCAGGTTCCGGGAGTGGAGACGATGCCGAGGCGAGCTCCGAGGTGAAGAGCGGAGATGGCTCCAATTCAGACTCTGGTTCTGATTCAGATAGCGGTGCCAATGGAGACAGTGCCACAGAGTCCTCTCCTCCGAGGAAGAGGACGAAGAGGGCTTCTCAAGCCTGAGGTGACCAGTGCTATTTTTTTTTGTAGTTTTGCTTAGTTTCTTTTGTTTTATGGTTTTGGCACATTGTATAGCCTTAGATAGGTTTTATTTGCTTTAAAAACTTGTACTACATTTTTGTAAAAACAACCATGATCGGAATGAAAACCACATTTTTTTGAAAAAAGTGTTATATTTTGCATTATGAGCACCGCATTGCATGAAAATGAGATTGAATTTGATAATGAAACTGAACACTATATTGGCACAACTTTCTTAATCGGGTAATCAGCCGACCAACTATTGAAATAAAAAGAAAAATACAACTCGATAAATAAAACGACTATAACTTGATAAACAAAAACAACACAAATACAACTCGATAAGCAAAACAAAACAAATAGAACTCAACAAACTAGCTAAAGCCCAAAAAGACTTAAAACAAGACTCTAAAACACACAGAGAGCAGAATAAAACACATGCTTCTCGCAATGTTCAGCACAAAGAAGAGCAATAGGTTAGTGTGAGAGACTACCAGCCATGAGTGGTGGTTGCCGGCCAAGTGAGGTGGCCCCTCTGCCGGCCATGAATGAGCCTTGCTGGCCATCGATGTACAGGACCTCCAAATTGTTGACACCTGGTTTCCACTCACTGTCTTATCTTCTAGAAAATGTTGAACTACGTAGTTTCTTCATTTCAGCTGCAAATTCTTCACAAATGGAGCCGTTTTTTTCCGTAAAACTCTCGGAGTGGATTGCAACTTTAGATGGCTTGGAAAAGGTGAATTTTTGGGGTTTCGACATAAATACACTTTTCCCGCTGAGTCGTTCTCCGCTTTGTTTTCCGTTCCTTCGTGTCGCGGCTAGATGTTGGAACCTGATTACACACGTCTTTAGCTTTGGGGGATAAGAGATATGCCCGACAATCGAAGAATTTCAAGTATTAATGGAATCCCGACATGCTAAGGAAATCTTGCCTCGGCCCGTTTCGGCCACATCCAAGCTTTGGGATGGATGTGTGGGCTCACTCTACATGAGGCCCGATCCTTGGTTCGCAACGATGAGCTAGATATTCCCAGAATGATCCATCGATTTTCTGAGGTCGGCGACCAAGGTAATCTTCTTTGGCGCGATTTTTGGCAACACGCCCTTTGTTTGTGTATTTTAGCTCATTTCCTTCTTGCCTCTAGTTTTGGAGGGTCGAGTACTCGATTGGTCGAAGTAGCCCAAGGTTTGAAAAAGGGCAAGAGTTGTATTGGCTTGGTGCTAGCCGGGACTTCAATGGGCTTAGACGTCTTCCACCGGCGAGAGACAAACAAATTTGCAGGAAGTCCACTACTTCTTCAGGCAATGTTTCCCACATTTTCTAATATGTGTTTCTCACATCACTCGGCACTCATGCTCTTTTTTTTTCCTCTCAAAGTGATTTTCTCACTTTTCTCTCAACATACATCTCTCTATTCTTTAATCTCTCTTTTCTTTCATTCCTCCCCAGGTGTGGCTCATGGACAGGCTGAAAGTAGTGGATGCATGGCCTAAATACTCAGCACAGGGCTATTTCTTTCACCATCGCGTAGTGAATTTCCTAAATGAAGGGTAGTGGTGCCACTGGATGTGCAACAGGTCTGCTACTAACATTGTTTGGTGCTGCCACTGGCTTAATCTAGGCAAGTCTGATCACGTCCAAACTGACGTCGGAACCTGAAAAGGAAGTAGAATACACAGTGTGTCAGGTACCCCACTGCTTGGAGGACGAGAGAGCTTCTGGCCCCTGTCCCTAGTTTCAACTGCGCCCTTTCTGGCGAATGCTTGACTTGGCTTGAAGATGAGGCACAAATCGGGCCCACTTTAGCATCAGAAGCTTCCACGAACACAAGCAAAGGACGCAGGAACACCTAACTCATCTATGCCCCTAGTTTATTGCTTTAATCTTTACTTTTCAAGTTTTTGTGATGTAATAAAAGCAACTTTGATTTGTATCAAGAATTGGAGAACTTTGTATTGAAATCAATGAAATTAAAGTTGTGAGCACTGAGAATTTTCCTTTTGGTCCAAAAACAGTCTAAGTTGTAAAAGGGAAAATTTGAACAAAAATCAACTTTTATCAAAACTTTTCAAAATCATTTTCGAAAAGGATCACGACTTGATACACATGGAATCTATCCTCGAGATGTACAACTCCGAATCCAAAAATGAAAAATTGCCCCTTGTCTGAATAGCACTGCTCAACATTGTAACCAGCTCTCAGAATAAAGATCACAACTGAACTTTCAGATAAAGAACAAACGAAGATAATCTGATCGAACGCATGGATAGGACAGTTGAGTTAGAGGTGTTTACAGTCAAACATCAGAATGAAATTGCCTACGTATCCTGAAGATGGAAATCAGGTCTTACGTAGTTCGGTTCGAGTTCACTCTAGTATTAACGCTCTCCTTTTGCGCTCTAATTTTTACCAAGGCCACCCTTCCGAGTTTTCAACCTTGCGAGCTCAGTTTTTCTTTATTTCCAATTTTTTTGTGCTCTAACTTTTGCCTAGGTCACCCTTCTGGGTTTTCGGCCCAACGAGCCTCTCAGGGATAGGATTTCTTCAATTTTCCCATTTTGATTGGTTAGGAAAATTCTAGGCCATCCAGGTCCATGAGAATAATAGCTCCACCTGACCAGATAGTTTTGATGATGTAAGGACCAGTCCAATTAGGTCTGAACTTGCCCCTAGGGTCATGGATGGGAACTCGGTTGTCTTTCAGCACCAAATCCCCTTCTTTGAGATCCTGGGACTTAACTTTCTTGTTAAAAGCCCTGGTAATCCTACGTTGATAACCCTGAATATGGTACAATGCTTTCAGGCTTCTCTCATCAAACAGCATCAGTTCTTCGAACCTGCTCTGTTGCCAGTCCGCCTCTACTATTTGACACTCAACTATAACTCGCAGCGACGAGACTTCTATTTTGATTGGCAGAACAACCTCCATTTCGTAGACAAAAGAATAAGGAGTTACCCCTGTAGACGCCTGTGGGGGCTGAATATCAAGAGACGTAAAGAGGCTGAATAATTGGACATGGAGAATCAAAATATATACATCATATTCGGCCTCGTCTTATACATACAAGTCCTACCCAATTCGGCTAAATAACCAGTTGAATAAGGGGTCGAGTGAAGAGCGATTTGCAACCAAAGGAGCCAAATAAATAGTTTTACAGTGAATTGGAGGTGGGCCCAGCCCCGAGGCCCAAGAAAGAAAAGATATAAATAGAAGAACATTAGCCAGAGAGAGGTATGTGAGAACTAGTATGCTTAACTTAAAATACAAGCAATCGAGAGGGTATATACTAACTTATCCGTCAGAGTGCTAATTCCAGCACCCTCGACCAGAGTGTTCATTCTTTTTCAGGTTACCAACTCAACTATAACTCGCAGCGACGAGACTTCTATTTTGATTGGCAAAACAGCCTCCATTTCGTAGACAAAAGAATAAGGAGTTACCCCTGTAGACGTCTGTGGGGGCTGAATATCAAGAGACGTAAAGAGGCTGAATAATTGGACATGGAGAATCAAAATATATACATCATATTCGGCCTCGTCTTATACATACAAGTCCTACCCAATTCGGCTAAATAACCAGTTGAATAAGGGGTCGAGTGAAGAGCGATTTGCAACCAAAGGAGCCAAATAAATAGTTTTACAGTGAATTGAAGGTGGGCCCAGCCCCAAGGCCCAAGAAAGAAAAGATATAAATAGAAGAACATCAGCCAGAGAGAGGTATGTGAGAACTAGTATGCTTAACTTAAAATACAAGCAATCGAGAGGGTATATACTAACTTATCCGTCAGAGTGCTAATTCCAACACCCTCGACTAGAGTGTTCATTCTTTTTCAGGTTACCAGCTGAGGATCTCAAGTGCCCTATTGGATCCAAAGAGTATTTCTAGAACCACTTCCCCACAATTAGCGCCGTCTGTGGGAATACTCAAGCACATCCATGGCGGGCGTGACGGAAGATCCTCTGGCAGTCGCTGGCGACCCTACGCCTCAAGATGAAACCACTCCAAACAATATGCTTGGGCTAGAGAATATTACCGCAAGAAGAGCCTTGAACTTCGATTCACCCTTGACATCAGAACATGAGGCAATGCACACGATTATGGAGCAAGCAAAGCAAAACGAACAGAGGTTGGAAAACATGTTGGCTGAGAACGAGAGCCTTCGACAGGATTTGGCCTTCGAAGTGGCAAAATCCCGATAAGTTGCGTGCCAAGACCCGGGACGACCTCTAAGAAAGGATGGCCGACGATCCTGAAATCAGAAACAAGACAGTAGTAGTGATTATGACTTGTCATCCCCAGATTCCAAAAGGAATGGACGAGTAGCACTCTCCAGTTCTTCTAAAGGGAGCTTGCGTTCAAGGATTAAATGAAGACGAGATGACTCGGACGAAGAGGATCAACATGACCCCTTTGTGCGACGGATCGCAAGGGCGGTATTTCCCAAAAAGTTCAAAGCTCCGTCGTTCACTCTCTATGATGGAAAATCAGACCCCACCAATCACATCTGTCACTACAAGCAAGCTATGACATTGCATGCAGACGACGAGGCCCTCATGTGCCGAATATTTCCTAGCAGTTTGGGACCATTGGCTGTTAGGTGGTATTATAAATTGCAGCCGGCTTCAATCAAGAGCTTCCACCAACTCCAAAAAACCTTCAGGGTAAGGTTCATCACTAATGAGGTCCAACTGAAGCAAGCCGATTCTCTATGGGCAATACAGATTCAATCGGAGGAAACCCTTCATGCGTATTCAGCGTGATATTGGGAATGTTTTAATCTGGTAGATGATGCTTGCAATGACTTTATGGCCATCACTGCCTTCAAAATGGGGTTACATCCAGACAGTGCCCTTCGCAGCTCTTTGACCAGATGGCCCCCAAAAATGGTCTGGGCGTTGATGAAAAAAGTTGAGAAATACTGCAAAGTAGAAGATGACGCCCTCCGAGTCAAAGACGGGCATAAAGCTGCTAAGTTAGCCCAGCCTGAAGTCGTGCATCCAATAAAC